AGGCAGTATTTATTTGCGAGTATTGTAATGAAAAATTAAAATATGCCTCTATGGAGAGGGGTATGGACCCCATCTTATTCCATAGGGTATCCCTTATCCTACTTTATGTCAAAATCGGGTATTGGATGTCTTTGACAATTTTTTTTCTTTCTCTGACGAAAGTAATGTGTCGTAAGTTCCTGATTTCCAAAGATTAATAATGTAAGAGTTATTATAAATAATCAATTAAAAATTATCTAAATTGAGCGTTTTAATACCCTTCAAACGTAAAGGGTTCCCCCCCTTCCCCTACAATGTCTTACTAACATTATAAATGAGTAAGTGAGTTTGTTTGTTTTTTACGTCTTGGCGTTTTAACAGTTCAACCGATCGTCATAAAATACGCACCTATATGAGACGACTGCTGTGCGATTCAGGTATAGAATGGGCCACCCCTTCCATTCCCGTGGTTGTCTTAAGGAAGAAAACTAAAGTAACTTAATGGTCAAGAATGGGTAGCAGCGTCCCTCTTAAAATATCACCAAAAACGTAATTGTTGTTGCCAACCTTCCTGCCAAGTGTGGCGACTACTATCAAACGCCCCCTAATGGAGGTCAATGTTCCGTAGTGGGCAGTTAACGGCTGAATGACGATGAAGATGACAAGAGACAGAGAAGGAAATAAGTGATTTTTAATTTTGGTCAATGAATATATCCCGCTTATTTTCTATATTGTATAATGCAAATAAAGTGTACTCATTCATATCCCGGTCACGCGGACAAAAATAGGTTTAATATAAGTGAACCCTTTTTTCGTTCATGACAGAAAAAGAATATACCTAATGTGTCACAACTTGTTTTTATACACATGATATTTTAAATGGAGCTAAAGGAAAAAGCACAATATACCATTGCAAAAAAGTTCAAAATTCAAAATTCCATAATTAGTTTACTTAATTCATAAGGGATCTTTTTTAACGGGTAAAAGTGGCGTGGCGACCCTTACTGCGCTATCGATATACACTTTTACGGCATTAGTGAGGGATGATAGGTGAGAATGAAAGCAGGTCAGTTGGCCTATCATGAAGAATTTGACAAGACTCAATTATGCTGGTTCCTGGGGAGGACCACGTGGAAATATTAGACTCTATTACTGATACTCTTTTCGAGAATAATGAATATTTTTTATGGATGACAATGGAATGCAAATCCCGCCTGCGCTAACGGAATACGCTGGCGGGGCACCAGTGAAGGGTGATCGATGAGGATGAAAACAGGTCGGTTAGTCCATCATGATGAATTCATCTGGAATTAATCATGATAGTTTCCAGGGGGAACCGCGAGGAGATCGACCTGGTTGGGTATATTGCTAGCAATGGGATTCTCAGTCTTCATTACTAACAATTCCTTTCCCACCTCCATAAGGTATTAGGTAATAGTGGTTGTGGATAGGTAGATATTCAGCGACTGAGTGTTAATATTTCATTGATAACTTCGCTTGGAATCTAAGTTCCATCAATCCAATTCATATGGGAGTCGTATCAGACATAAATATTGTTACCATCAATCATGCTGAACGTATCTATATTTTCGCTATTAGGAACTTTGAAGTGTATAAGCTATTGACTTATGGTATTTTCTTTCTAACTACACTGGGTTGGCTGGAAGAGATCTCTTTCAGAGATAAGTCCTCCCTTGCTAACAAGTTGTTAAACTAATCGTCGCATGTTTTTTTTTTTTATACAACTTAGAATGGCAAAGAAGCTGACGGCCCACCTGATGGAATGTGGTAACCGTCGCCTATAGACATGAGCAGTACCATGGACATAACAGAGTATACTGTACTGTTTAAGTGCAATAAAGAATAATATATCACTACAAAAAAAAAAATACACTGTTTATTTAAATAGTGTTTAACAAAACTCTGTTTCAATGATTAAATAATGTTTAGTTAGTATGATAATGTTTAATTTGTAATTTCATATGTCAATTATAATAATAATAGATTCTTTTTAAATTTAAATTTATGATCAAACTTTACTTTTTTTATTTCTTTTTTAATTGCATCAAAGGAGATCCAGATTGAACTCATATAAATTTTATCAAAATCAGTTTAGTGTAGTTTTAAAACTAAAAACGTTTTTTTTAAATGAACTGGATTTATCACAACTGAAGTAGTTTTTTTCTGTATAACACAATATTATATTATTATTATATTATTTATATTATTCTTATACTATTATTATTATTATTAGTATAAATTATAAGTACCACAGATGACAGCGAAATCATGAGCCCCTGGGGATATGGATCGAGAATAAACCGAGGAAAAACACTTATTGAATTTTGTCTTGAAAATCAAACTCTACGTTATGAATAGCTACTTTAAGATAACATAAAAGCGAAAAATGAGAGGACGTGGCGGTCCCCAGGTGGCAGAGCAACAAACGAAATCGATTTTTTTATTGCACAAAATTCTCATAATAACAGCATTAAAAATATCGAAATAATAAAAACGAATCAATCTACCTATCATCGTATTGTTCACGCAACCGTGTTAGACTAGACAAATAATAAATAACTCTTCGTTTTCCTTCGTCATTTTTTTTTTTTTGTGTGTATGTGTGCTGTATATAGTATGTGTATGTTATATATATATTTAATTGTGTATATATTATATATGTATGTGTATGTATGTATGTATGTATGTATATATGTTTGTATATGATAATATTTATGTATTACTATTTATTATTAAAGGTTGTCTGGAAGAGATTGCTTAGCGATAAGTCCGCCTTTTGTATCACTTCTCATTAATGTTTACTGTATTTGTTATTTCTCTTTTTACTTGGTGCAATAAAGTGTAAATACATAAATTAATTAATAGAAATTCATTTTAAAAGAAAAAAATAAGACTTACGACAATAGAATGTCACTCATTACACAATATCTTTGACGATTTCTCAATGGATTTAAAAATTAGGTAGAATATACAAAATACATATGATTTTACTAAACATAATTAAAAGTAGCATCAATAAACTATACAGTAAAAAAGAGAAAAGTAGGATCGATATATATAATAAAGGATAATATTAAAACTTTGATTAAAGAAAGAGTAAAACTTATGGAGGAAACAAAATAAATGAATGAATAAATAAATAAAAAAAGTCAAAAGTTGAAAAGGACAAAAAAAAGAAAAATATTATACAGAAAAATTCGAAATTATTTTAAAAGAAACAAATATATAAATTAACTAAACTAAACTAAACTAACAAAACTATAAATTAAGAATACTTGGAGATGAATTAGAAAAAAAAACAGTTAAAAGAAACAATAAACGTATAAAAAATACCTTTTTTATTATTTATTATGGATTCAGACTCAAAGTCTGAATACAATATCAAAGTCAAAGTTAAAATAGTACTGGGGCAACGACATTTTTTTTTTCATTATAAATATCATACGAAGTTTGTGATAGTTATTTTACGCATTCATAATTATTTTGCTGTAAACTTATGTTTGACAGCTGTGTTTCTTGTCAGTTTTTTTCAGCTGAAATTGTATTCAGAACTGGGCGGTAGTTTATAAAAAAAAATTACTTTTCTGAAATGCTTATTATTATGTTTACTTGAATAAAAAATATTTATTATTATTATTATTATATTACATTGAACAGAATAAACGTCTGTCCCATTCGTGTTTCAACCGTGAAGCAGTTGTATTTGCATGGCTGTGTTTCGGTTTGAAGGGTGAGATATGGCGTGAATTTACTGGGTACAAAGGAATAACACCCGAGTCCTCAGGAATGGCAACGCATGGGGGGTATCATGGGCGAAACAGTATACTCTGTTATGTCCATGGTACTGCTCATGTCTATAGGCGACGGTTAGTACTTTCCATCAGGTGGGCCGTCAGCTTGTTTGCCATTCTAAGTTGTCTAAAAAAAAATCTTAGCTACAGACTTCTATAGGAATTTCTACAACAGTTTTATTTTATTTTATCTTTATTTGGTTTCCCAGCAATTTTCAGTTGAGGGAGAAAAATATTCATACGATCTAGTAGTGGAACAAAGGTTTATTTATTTTTAGTCACTAAAAGCTCTAATATTGATTCAGCTACAAGTACTTTTATAATCTCTTGTAGAAATAAGGGATTATAAAAAAAAAACCGCTCAAGTGCGAGTCGAGCTCGCGCAATGAGGGTTCCGTATAAAAACATTAAGTTGAAAAAACATTTTTTTGTGAAATAACTACAAATTTACGGTTTTCGGATTTTTCCCTTTACTTGTGCTAGATGACATTCCTGCTTGCTAAATTTCATGATTCTAGGTCAATGGGAAGTACCTTATAGGTTTTGATTCCCTTTGCGAATGTCAAAATATGCGATATAAATGGAACATAAACGGTCATATCTTTTGATTGCGTCGATTTAGAAGCTTGATTTTTTCACTGCTTTAAGATATATGGTATTAACTTCAAATTGATATCCACGCGTTCTTAAGTAAAAAGTTTTTGACAGGTGGACGAACGAATAACGAAGTGTTCCTATAAGGGTACTGGTTTTTCCTTTTGTGCTAAGGAACGCTAATAATAATAAAGTAAATAGAGATTTACAAATAAAAATTACCTGTTAAAATTACGCTGACAGTCCTTACAATTATTTGTCCCGTATTATGATAGCGTTTGCTTATTTTCATCTGCATTCGAGACCAAATAATGTCCATCGGAGCGTACATTTGCAGGCAGTAAGTGAAAAAAACTGCTGTGGCGACTAGAATCTTGGCTGTCATTGCCAAACTGAAACATAAAATTTAAAACTATTACTGTTTTTATTCATATAAGTCCTTTGTGAAATAGGCAGGGAGAAAAGAGAACATAAAGTCAACTTCATTTGTGGTAAAACTAGTTACTTACTACTACTAGTTAGTTTAAAAATAAAACTTCAAAAGGGTGGTAAAGAGGTTTCTTTAGGGTCGGCAATGCGTGCGTACTAATACCTCTGGTATTGCAGGTGTTCATAGGCTACGGTAACCACTTACCATCAGGTGGGCCGTAAGTTTGTTTGCCACCTCAGTGGTATAAAAAAACTACTGAACCGTATTTGATGACACTTTTATGGGATCAATTTGTAATTACATTTTTTCATTTAAAAAAAGAATTTTCCAAATCGGTTCAAAACTGATAGAGTTATGAAGTAAAAAACACAAAAAAAAAATATTAATATCGAATTGAATACCTCTTTTTTTTGAAGTTACTTGAGAATATATTGCAAGTATATATGTGTACAATGAGTACTTAATAACATATTTTGCCTTGGTAAGCCGAAAAGAGCTTATTAGACTCTGGATTTTAGATGCGTAATTCCTATATAAAATTTATGTCGAAAAAATAAGGCGAAAAACAATGTAAAAGGTGGAAGTCTAAAGGTTTATAACGGGATTGGGCGTTATTAATAAATCAATTGTGAAACAAGTAAACAAAAAACAGTAATGGCTTAGTTTTCTTTTAAGTCGAAATATTTTAAGTATATTACAATCATTTCTTGTCGTTTTCTCAATATGTATATTATTTTTTTTTTATGAATATTTCAGTTTTTTACTAAAGCATCTACACTTATATTTTTTATAAGTAGATAGATATATGAATTAAAAATATAAATTGGCAATTTCGCCTATGCAAAACCAGTATAAGCACTTCATTTATTATCCCAAAAAACATTATTCAATGTAAACATAACGTCGGTTCTGCTAAAGCTCTAACCGGCGGTGTAATTTTTACTTGTCGTAACTTTTTATATCCTTTATAAAAAATATGTATTAAGCCTAAGCGTACTTAAAGGTAAAGTTTGCATATCTACATAGGAAAAAATCAATTACCGAATGTATGCGAGCGTATCATTTCAGAATGCCTGCATCTATGTAGGTATTTGGCTGTTTATTTTTGTTGTATTCGTAATTGTCAAGACAAGTTTTGTATAAAAAAAATGTCAAAAATATGTACAGAAAAGTAAAAAATGCTCCGTATAAAAAGTGAAAGAGAAGATTTGATTGAATGTTTAGGTTACTAACCTCTTTCAAACCTACATAGTTGTAGAAAAGTAAATATAAAAAATAGTGACGTTCTTGACAATCTTCTTGTCTTAGCAATTTTACCGAATAATATTTTGTATCGCGATTTATTATATCTGGATTTATTTACTGTAAATATTATTCATTATATAATCTTGTACTAAATTTTTATTTCTTTCACTCCCTCAGAATCTATAAACCATATATATATATATATATATATATATATATATATATATATATATATATATATATGGTTATATATATATAAATAAATTATATCATAATCCTTAATTTGGGAATGAATTATTCTATGTAAAAATAATTGTTGGTGACATTTCGTATAATAATAATAATAATAATAAATTCGTTTGTCATACAATGTTGTTTTTTTTTTACTTTTAATATACTAGTTTTTACCAGCGAGTTCGTCCGTATATGAAGCGAGGACGGACAGCTAGTTCCCAATGATTTTAATTAATAAATATAAAGTTTTATATAAATGTGTATATATAAATTTATATTGGCAGTGAATTTACAGGGTACAGAGGAATAACACCCGAGTCCTCAGGAATGGCAAAACATGGGGGTATCATGGGCGAAACAGTATACTCTGTTATGTCCATGGTACTGCTCATGTCTATAGGCGACGGTTACCACTTTCCATCAGGTGGGCCGTCAGCTTGTTTGTTATTCTAAGTTGCATAAATAAAAAGGAAAAAAAACATATAAATTTATATTTTGTTAGAAGTTAGTGGTCCAACTTTGACTTATAAACCACGAAGGTTATGAGTTTGAATCTGACCGATAACTAGAACTTAGTGCGTCAATTGGAATTCCGGTTAATTCTCCTGTGGTTCTAATCTTAAATTAATCTGCGCAATGCGGTAAACTTGCCCCTGCCACTTTGGAATCTAATATCCTCGGTGAAATGTCAAGTTACGTTCACTGTAACAGAAACACTTGACAAATACTTCTGACTACCCTATTGGCGAGAAAGGGATTGTTAGCGATGGGATCTAACAGCCCCATTGCTAGCAATCTTACTAATCAGGTCGACCTCTACGTGGTTCCTTCTGGAAACCATCGTATTTACTTCTCATGGAATTCTTCACGATGGGCTAACTGGCCTGCTTTCATCCTCATCTATCATCTACCACTCGTGCGCAGACCGAGTTACTATTTCATTATCAACCATTAAAAAAAGACTACCCTGTTAGGGATTATAGCCGTGAGCATGTGAGAGTAAACATTTAAACTGTATCTGTGAAGTAAGAGGAGAGATAAAAAAAACAAGGAAAATTTGTTTACTTACAGGACAATGTCAAAAATTAATGGATTCTAAACATTCTTTTATTCTTTCAGCAATGAATAAGCTACTTTATGCTAGATTTTTATATACAACTAGCGGCCCGTCTAAGCATCGCACCGGTGGACATTTTTACTTTATTATTTTAAAAAGTGGCCATTAAGGCTGCACACGCGACGGATGCTTAAAAATGGAGTAACTTTTCCCGTTTTCCCAACATTTCTCTTCGCTGCTCTGCTCCTATTGATCGCAGCGTGATGAAAGTATACTATAACCTGCTCAGGAGTATGAAGAATAATTGTACCAAGTTTCGTTAAAATCCGTCGAGTAGTTTTTGTTTCTATAACGAATATACAGACAGACAGACAGACAAAAATGTTACTGATTGCATTTTTGACATCAGTATCGATCACTATAATAAGACAATAATTCTTAGGAATTGTGATGAAAAGTATTTATGGGTATCACAGTATATTCTAAGATATGTGTAGCTACTTATGTTTATATGTTACTACTACTGGGGACGGTTACCACTTTTCATCAGATGGATTTTCCTACCTGATGGAAAGTGGTAACTATCACTTAGTTCACCATTCTATGTTGCACAATAAAAATACTGATAAAAGTGAATAATGTTGGGATACGTAATATAAAAAAGGCTTCTCGTTTGCATAGATATCTCTACGCCTATTTCCAACCGAATTCCCGGTAGCAAAATTTAACACCTTTCATGACATTTAATTTGGCGGAAACGGTTAGTTTAACGGTTCAATGGATTTGTATGTAATTTGATGTACAGATAAACTATATCCTAGATTAACAAGGATAATTTTTTATGATAATTTACGCTGGAATATTTCCAAGTTACAGTTAACATTTATTTTATTTATTTGTCGCACATAACAGAAGTTTACAAATACAAACTTAAAATAAAACATGCAAGTACATTAATGTATTGATGAGGTAAACTTGCCACCTCATGAGCACACAGCATGAACCAATAAATGCGACTGCAACAAAGACTTCAAATATTTGTGAATATTCTTATATAATTAATAGGTAAAGTAATTGTAATTATTTTTCTTGATGTTTTACTTTTTTTTAATTATACAATATTATCAGTACATACTTGTACAACAATTAGTCCATTACCATAAGGTTGTTTAAAGAAGATTGCTCTCAGCAATAAGACCGCCTTACTGTACTTATTTAACTGTATCGATACAATTGTCTTGCTTATTTCCTATATTGTATAATGCAAATAAAGTGTACTCATTCATTTATTGGCATAGCACTATAATTGTATGTCTACCTATAAGTAATATTTGTCTGTTAATCATCTTTTAAGTAAATCAATGAATGAATGAATGAACAAACGAACGAACGATGAAATGGATGAATGAATTATATCATATTTAAAAATTATAATATGCAATTAAATTATGTTATGTTAATCCCACGGATTTCACAGTATGTTTTATGATGTTCTAATACTGTTTATGTCAATAGACTACGTTATTATTTTCTACGAGATTCACTGCCATATTTCACCCGTCAAACCGAAACACAGCCATGCAAACACAACTGCTTCACGGTTGAAACACGAATGGAACAGAGGTGCTCAAGCAAAAGACTTTTGTACAAAGTCTCTCTCTGGTATAATATACATATACTCGTATCTGGTAATGTTAGCTTCTTTGCTGTTCTTGGTTACATAAAAAAGCACTTTATTTGCTCCGTAATAGAGTTGGTGAGGGAATAAAACAAAAACTTTATGTCTAGTCTTTGTTAAAATACGTTTCATTACAGAAGACCAAAACAATGCGACGAACTGAATTGTTTCATTAGGGAATCTCATTTCACAGCTTTATGTATTTAATTGTAGAATCGCAATAGTAAAGACTAAAAATAACATTGTTTATTGCTTTATGCCTTAATTGCATAATGCAATTAATCTTACTAATATTATAAATGTGAAAGATTGTAAAGTTGTTTGTGTGTTTATTATTCAATAGCTCTTAAACGGCTATAGGGTTTTGAATGAAATTTGATACTCAGATTTTTTTATTATACCACTGAGGTGGCAAACAAGCCTACGGTCCACCTGATGGTAAGTGGTTACCGTAGCCTATAGACGCCTGCAATACCAGAGGTGTTACTCCCACGTTGCCGACCCTGAAGAAACCTGTTTACCCCCTTTTGAATAACCCGATGCTGTAGTCTCTTGGGAAACCTGATTATATCCTAATTTAATACATAGGAAACTTTATATACCGACCACGAGGGCAAATGTACAGAAAACAAATAGTAATAATTCTAATATCTAATCACAAAAGAATTATGACGTAATATCACTTCTTTCTATTCTTAGTGTGTCGTAAAAAGTAGGCGGCCTTATTGCCAAAAGAAAAAAAAAATCG